TAAAAAGAATTGCTAAACGAGGTTAGAATTTCTACGTTTTTTGACACTCGTACTTCTAAATGAGTTTTTAGAATAAACATTTAATCTTCAAAACCTTTTTATTTTTGCAACGCGATGTTGTTGCTCTTAATGTCTGGTAGTTTAAGTATATATACATGAATATATATATACATGTATATATATACATATATATATATATATATATATATATATATATATATATATATATATATATATATATATATATATATATATATATATATATATATATATATATATATGTATATGTGTGTGTATATATATATATATATATATATATATATATATATATATATGTATATGTGTGTGTGTATATATATATATATATATATATATATATATATATATATATATATATATATATATATATATATATATATATATATGTATATGTATATATATATATATATATATATATATATATATATATATATATATATATATATATATATATATATATAATTATGCTTGTACTATTACCGTTTCAAGTGACACATTGCTTTGTGCAAGTTAACCTTTCAGACCCGATGGTTCATTGGGCTGATGAAGTAAAACTCGGCTTTATCTGTGACCTTTGCCTTTTTAAAATACCACCCTTCAAAGAATGCCAAAACAACCTCTCTAAAACACTAGAGCTAATAAAATAAACAGCATTTCTAAAACACCATCCCTAGCAAAATATTAAAACAGCTTTTCTAAAAAAAACTTCCCTAAGAAAACAACCAATATGTCCAAAATTGCATCCCTATGAAAACAAACAGCTTTTCTAAAGCACCATCCCTAGTAAAATGCCAAAATAGATGTTCTAAAACACTACCCCTAACAAAATACCAAAACTGCTTTTCTAAAACAATACCCCTAACAAAATACCAAAACAGCTTTTTTAAAACACCACGCCTAAAAGATATGCATTCTAAAACACTATCCTTTCCAAAATATAACAGCCTTTCTAACACACCATCTCTAACAAAACGGCTTTTCTAAAACACTACCCCTAAAAAATACCAAAACAGCTTTTCTTAAACACCACCCCTAACAAAATACCAAAAACAGCCCTCAGTACAACATTTAAACTCGTCTGACGCTAAATCCCCCAGTACAGTCAACTTCTCCCTAACGATACCACTAAACCACAAGCCCAGCAGACCGTATCCAACACATCAATGCCACTGTCAGCCCCCACCCCCTCCCCGCCGTCAAAATGCCATCCCTAGGCTTCGCCCCATTCACACAAATAAACCCCACAACATCGTAAATCCTTTTCATTGTCTAACTCCCGATTCACAAAAGACTTCAAAATTTACATCAGTATATGTATACGCCATAAAGACCAACACACGTACTAGAAAATCTACTACATTCAAAAGACAGACATCAAAAGGGTGTTGTTTGGAGGATATAGTCTGCCTGTTGAAGTTAATCCCGATAATCCACGGTGACATCCAATAGGTCTGCGTCTATGGATTAAGTGTAACTGTAGGTATCTCAACTGTAGGTAATTTCTTACCTTCCGTCCTGTACAGTGATCCATATCAGTCTATGGTGAAGAGTTACTAAAACCCCTTGAGAATCAATGGAAGTCGGTTCACTTGATATCAAAACTCTATCGTGTGTGATGAAATGACGTTTTCGAACGTGAGATATCTATATATAAAAAACTAAAGTATTCTCCAAAAAAAAATAACTGTTTAATCCATATTGCAGGTGAAGCAGAGGCGTAGCGACCCTTCCCGGCGCCCGGGGACAAACTCAAACTTTCGATTTGCACCCCCCCCTCGAGATTTCCATTTGCACCCCCCCCCCCCTCAAAACTTTTCGATTTGCACCACCCCCCTCAAACTTTCGATGTGCACCCCCCTCCTCGAGATTTCCATTTGCACCCCCCCCCCCCTCAAACTTTCGATTTGCACCCCCCTCAACCATACAATTTATTTTTCCAACCCATTTTGCCGCCCCCTAAGGTCGGCGCCCGGGAACATATGTCCCCCCCCCCCCGCATTCCCCCCCCCCTCGCTACGCTACTGAGGTGAAGTAGAGTTTACATGTAATGTCAGACATGAAGTGGGACACAAATTCATTCATTACAGCCATTATCTCCTTGCGTTTTGTTTTTCAGAGGATGTGGTTTAGTAAACTGAACACGCTATTCATTAATCTGATAAAGGATTTCAAAACTATATGAAAATACGAATAAGCATGCCGATTAAGAAATAATTACGCCAGATCTCGTTTTAATTATTTTTTTTATTAGATTCGCAAAAAATGACATTTTTACATAATCTAATTTTAAAATTTTCCCTGACCTTCGTTTGACACGAAATTTTCATTTTATAACAAAATAAAAAAATAAAAACGTGCGACCTTAGCATGTCCTCAATAATACCAGCATTCAGAAAACTCGCTGTCTCGCAAAACTGTCGAGCCAGATTAATTTCCGCGCCTCGCGAAACTGCCTTGCCAGATTGGATTACCAGCATGAGATTAACCAAGTAAACAATTGTATTGTTCCTTTGGAAGCGGGGTTTTAGCCTTGCCCAGGCACATTTTTCTAAACACACAGCCGGCTTTAAGTGAACAAATCTATTTTGGCATGACCGGGTCGCAGTATCGGCCAGCTCAGCTTGGGGTGTCGGCTCAGCTGGGGGCGTCGGTTCAGCTAGGGGCGCCCATACGATTTTCTCATTCATCAAACACGGAACGCTGTTTGAATTAATGAGCTTGTTAATCCTTTAATTGCTTAGCCGGATCTCAGTCCTGCTTTACGTGTTGTATAAAAAAAGATAATATTTTCTTACCCTTGAATGGACTTGACTTTTGAAATGACTTTTCTGGAACCCTGGTTAACAGTACACTAGATGTAATGAGTCGTTAACTTTAAGATATTTAATTGACGGGTGTAGACAATTTGTTTTTTTTTCTATTATTGATTTCTAAAACAGACCATCGCCCAGGTGTTTGTTGAAGTGGGGAGAGGGGTGGCGTGTTGGTGTATCATAAATCAAAATGTAAAGGGTGTGTATTTCACACATTCAAGGTTAGACAGACGTCTTCCATTATGCATAGCACACATGTAAGCCAACGAAGGCTTTGTCTAACCTGACCCTTTGAACCTCTACCTGCAGTTTGTGTAGTTTTATACGAACACATTACCTGCTGGTGTGGTTCAAAGGGTGAAAGAACAGCTAATCCAACTTGAAATTGCTGGTAAAACTCATAATTAACGGTTTATTGGTGGTCGGATCGGTAACGCTCGTGGTTGCTAAACAGATTAGCCACGAGTTCGAACCCCTAAGCAGATGAGGCTCCATACCTTTAGACAGAAACCCAGTGTTTCTTCCAGGCATCCTTCCTCCAGCCCCCCACCCCGAAGAAAATCTACCGCACCCGCCTCCCCCTCCCCCCGAAAATATCAAGTGCCTTTTGGAGAAAAAGTCTTGAAGAAACACTGCAGAAACACATCTAGGAGAGACAACTCCAAAGTCAAACAACTGCTGCCTTGTAGTTTGTTTCTAGAGGACAAAGGCTATGGAAGCAAATCCAAAAACAAAAGCAGGCTGAAATTAGAGTCAAGGTCCTATAGGACGCATAATAAGTTGACACGTAAGACTTAATTGTGTTGGAAATCCCGTCCAACAACACAATTAAGAACGGAGAAGAAGAATTATCGTGTACGGGTATGTATAGCTGTGTAGGTGTAATAAGCAACTTAGATTTTTTGAGGAAATAAAATAATTTTGTATCAAATCTCTTGTATGAACTATTTTCTGATGCGGCGGTGTTGTGCGGGAGTTGTTAGCTCCAGAAGCCCTGGGTTCGGACCCCAGGCACTAAAGGTTCTTTATCTAGGGACAGCAACCCATCTAGGAGAGACAAATCCAAGACCAAACAAATGCTGTGTTGTAGTTAGTACTTGGATTGACAAAGGCTCTCGAAGCAAATCCAGAAAAAAAGCAGGCTGAAGTCGGAGTCAACGGCCTATATGGCGCATAACAAGTTGACACGTTATACTTAATTGTGTTGTGTTAGAGGCAATCGCTTTCAATCTTACAAATTGAGAACAAAGAAGTCCTCAGACAAGACGATTGAGACTTTTATCTCTTCTTTTGTCAGCTCATGTGTAGGCCTAGAATAATTAATGACCAATACCGTTATAAGGCGAGGTAGGAGAAAGGGTAGGGGTCCGCACTGTGTTCCACCATTTTAGGGGTGACACCAATTAAGAAAATTAAGGGAAATTTACTGTCAGAATAATCTTTTATCCAGTTAAAATAGTTAAAAGTATTTGAACGTGATGATCCCTAATTTGATTTTAGTGAACGTGGTGACACCTAATCAAAATTGAAAAATTGTTGGAAAATACCCTTAGCTACTGCACTGGTTGTCACCCACCCTAGTGACGCTACTCATCGTGTCTAACGTTGATATTTAACTTGGCATAAAAAAAAAACATTATTTTATTCGGTTTATTTAAATTAGAAACATTCAACTTTATTTTAAACGTTCCCTTTTAATTTCATTTGGCTTAGAAACCAGCGGATAGAAAAATCTGGCAGCTTGCAGTGTTTGCTACAAGGCCAGTTTTCTTTAATGATAAAAATAGAAAATATAAGCTATGTAATAAAAGAGACAAAGTAGATATAAACACATAAGTATTTTATATAGCCCACTTACAACAACACAGCAAGCTAATTACATTACAAGCAAAGCTTACACACCTTACAGCCCGAGTTTCTACCAGACATCCCCCTCAACGAAAAAAATAAATAAATAAATAAAAAAAAAAAAAAAATATATATATATATATATATATATATATATATATATATATATATATATATATATATGTGTGTGTGTGTGTATATATATATTTATAATTTATATAGAAAATATATACTTTAAACAGTGTCCGGTGTCGGGCCCCCTCCCGAAGAAAATGTCTGAAAGAAACACTGCTCATAGCCCTATCTCTTACAACGTAGATGCTGGTATGTTCTAAAGAAATTCTTAGACATGGCGACATAGATGACGAAATTAACCGAAGCGCTGATAGCACCCAAGAAATCAGTGACCATCTCTAGCAGGATGCCAAGCCTGGACTCCCCGTCCATCTGTGACATCAGTTCCGGTCTGACCAGGTAAAAAATGGGCGGGACGAACGTGGGACAGGAAGTGAGAAGATACGCCAGGCAGACTGCTAGAAGCATCTTTGCTGCGCGTACGTCAATAACTTGTGTTGACGTCAAGGACATCCGCTTCCGGTTGTAGTCTTTGAGTTTCAACACCGTACATAAAGATAACATGGAGATAATTATAAACTGCAAAGGGCCCTTAATCCAGTCAGTTGTTATATTGAGAATGCTTAGAGCATCCCAGTTTTGAAGGATGAAGTTAGAAAAAACAGCTTCGCCAACTGTTGTGTTGAATTGCTCAAGATAGACCCATTTCAACTCAAACATGTACGAAAAGAGGGGACAGACTAGAGCTATCCAAAACAATGCAATGGCCATCATGTAATATGCGGTTTTTTTCGACGAAAAATAGAGCGCTGCTTTTAAAGGGAGGTAAACGGCGATCATTCGCTCTAGCGATAAAAGAACGATGTGCCCGGTGGAAAATTTCCTGAACAGCGTGTTTATTGTGAGGAAATAAGCCGACTGCACGGCCTCCATCGTCATAGAACCAGTGACGTCAAACGCCGCGATGACGCAGGAACTGCGTCTAAGGATGAGGGTTATGACGTAGACGAGGTCGCAGACAGAGAGTGACATCATAACATAGTTGGTGGGAGTCCTCTTCTTGCGTTGATGAAGGACCAGGACGTTCAGGACATTACCCACAATCCCCAACAGGCATATGGCGTTAATCAGAACGCAGTTGATCAAAATGTCTGCAATATGCAGCGCCTCAACGGATATGACGTCAAACTCTAGTACTGGACTGTCTTCATACGTCACATTTGATGAGTTTTCATCGTCTTTGAAGACCGCCATTACAACACTATTACTTTTTTTTGTCTTTTCAATCGTTTGCTTTGAAAAAATTCCTAGCTATTATTCCTTCCACGTGTGAATTCTACTTCACCTGCCACGTGGGCCACCAGGTCCAAAAGGGAACTTTAATTACTTTTACTTACTCCGACCACTTAATTAGATAGTTCATCTTTAGTTTTCACAATAATTTAAACGCAAAATGTGTTATATTTGGTGTTAAACTCCACTTTTTTGAAAAAAGGAAAATAAATAATTAAATTAAGATAATTTTTAGACAGAAAATATAACACTATTCCTGTCAGATACAACTATTTAATGCAGTGGCGTCACTAGGCGGGGTCGGGGTGCGGCCCGCACCGGGTAACACCATTCAGGGGGTGACACCACGATTAAAAGTAGAAAAATGTTCAAAACAAAGTTTTATTTGGTCAATATAACTAAATATTAGGGAACAGGGGTGATACCAAACTGAAATTGCAAAATTTTGAAAGGGGGTGGGGTGACACCCCCAGTTTTAGTGCACCGGGTGACACCCAACCTCGTGACCCCACTGATTTAATGTAAACAAAACTTTAAAGTTTAAAGCATCAATTATAAAAAAAAATACTGAAAATTTAAAAACTAGGCCCTAGCCCACAGTTTGGTTTTAAAAAAAAAGTATTTTTGTTGTAATTTTTAACATCTGAAAACAGATTGTGTTGTTTAGTTAGGTAGTACGATGCATCAGAGTGCATTTATTGTCAACCTAAGGAAAAATAAAGACTTCTTAAAAGGTCGAAAAGATGTATTGAAGCTATACTTTTTTGCTGGTCTAGCTACCCTAATTCCAGCTCTGGTTTTATCCATAACCCTAGACCTTTTTTTTTTTGCTAGTAAGTTTCACCCAAATTTCATCCCTGGTTTTTTGTTTTACACATAATTCTAGCCGGTTTGCTTTACTAGTTTCTCTAGTTTACCCTTAACCCTAGCCCTTTTTAGCTAGTGTAGCTACCCAAATTCCAACTTTCGTTTTATCCATAACCCTAGCGCTAAAAATTACACTAAAAATTAAAAACTTCCTTAGTCGTCAAGACAATAAAAGCCATTCGAACAGAGTATCGTCGAGTAATCGTTCTTTCAAGATCCAACAAAAAAAATACTATTGTGACGGTTTAGTCAAGCCTAACATGATGTTCTATTTGCACTGAAGACACAAACAACTCCTCAAGGCCGTCTCCTGCCTAGCTTCATGCAATCACGACACGTAGAAAAAAATAGTCTCTGCTTCAATTATTTCTACCTCGTTGTGTCGCCCTATATCAGTTACCAGCTTATCGTCTGTCATCTGAGCAGACGAGAGCCAGTCTTTCAGAGTCTGAGAAAATCACGTGATCTCGCATTTTTAGATCTCGACAAAAAATATGCTTTTTTATTGTTAACCCATTACATAAGAACAAAAAAAAACGGGAAAATCCAGTTCAGGAAATTGTAGTTTTGCCAACAATCATGAAGGAGGTTTTATTCTATGCAATAGCTTCTTTTACATTGCCTCTATAGTTAACGTTATTCGTTGCAAAACGTTTTATATATATATATATATATATATATATATATATATATATATATATATATATATATATATATATATATATATATATATATATATATATATATATATATATATATATATATAATATAACTGGATATATATATAATTATTTAGTTTGAAAATTACAAACAGTTTAGATACAATCAGCTTTAAACGAAACCAGTTTGATTTATCGAGTAATTATAACCCCCGCCCCTTCCCCGGAAATGAGCAAAAATAAAAAAATAACAATGTTTTAATTATAAATTCAATGTGTGTAGTTCCTACGATATTTTCAAAATTGTTTTAACTTTTTTCAGACTTAATATTAAAAAAAAAACAACAAATAATGGTATTTAGCAGTAGCGTTAGATTTCGGGAGCCGGTAGAGGGGGCGGTTCGCACCGGATGACACCCAACCTAGTGACGCCATTGCTATTTAGACCAAGTTAGTACGATCTGTTGTAGGCCAAAATAAAACTTTTTTAATAAAATAAAGAATTAATAATTATATTAAAAGATTAATATTAAAAAAATTAATAGTTATATTAAAAATACAACTGGAAAAACAAACAGTAGATGAATTGTTTTGAAAAAAAAAGTGTGTAAAATACCAAAGTAACTGTTAAAAATAGCGCACAAGAAAGCCAAAATACATCTGGATTTTGGGCCGCCCAGCCAGGCTGGGCAGAAAACATATTACAGTACTGTTGAATAGTACAGATAACACAATTTGACAGCAGAAATAAGAGAGACGCACGTTGAAGCTAAAACTTAGGTGGATGTTAAGATAAAATAAACACTGGATGTACGCGAAAATGGTTATCGCGCAAGGATACATCTTTTTTAAATGTACTCACTTCCTGTTTGGTTATTTATTGAGTGCTTCAATATACCTACTTTGAAAAATTACTACGCCTTGGGCTATGTAAACAAAGAGATATTATTAACCCCACTCTGCAATAATTAACCCGTGATTAACTATAATTTATTTTAAAATTGTATAACATTCAATTTTCTCATCAGTTAAGTTTAAAAAATCATTTCTGTATTGAAAAATTAGCAATATAAATAAGCCTTAACTGATATGAATATATTTAACGACAATTGCTAATTGTTTAATTATAAGTGATAGATTTTTAGCCGTTTCGACCCTAGTATTTAAAAAGTTAATTCATAATAACAGCTTAATGGGATGTATTACAAATAGTTTTTCGGAATTGTACTAATTATTAGATAACTAATTAGGTAATTACTGTAGTTATCATATTTTCAAATCAAGATAGAAATTTAGTATTATTACATAAATTATAGTGATTTTAAGGTTTTTTTTAACACGTGTCTGTAGAACAGTTTTTACTAACCCGGAAGTCCTGAGTTCGAACCTTCGGGCTGATGAGGCGCGTCTGTTGGGACACAACTCATCTTGGTGTAAAAAAAAACAAATAAAACTCCGAAATTAAACGGGAGTTGAGCCCCTTAGGCGATAGAATTCCAACTCTGGTTTCCTTTCGGCAGCTCCTGCGACACTGCTGATTCCAAGCTGTACAGGTAACGTCCTGTCCCTTGGGTCCATCAGCTGTGTGGAGAGATGAGGCCTGATACATGGGCAACGTCGGACTCTTCTCAACTTAGGGCCTGGGCTTTGTGCTTGGATTTCCCATGCGCAATCATCCACTGATCTTTTAGATTATGGAGCCATAATATTGTATTTTACCCATTCACTTGGCATGGATTTTTTTAAATATATTAACAATTTTACCTAGTGGCCTATGCTTATTTTAATTATAGGCCTATAACTCAGATTGACTAAAACTTTGGATCTAGTTGGTTTCGTACCACGTATATTTGAGTTTTCCTAAAAAAAATAGCAACTTTTTTTTCCATTGGTGTTAGTTGGGGGTCGTCCATAAATGACGTCACGCTTTTAACGATTTTTTTACCTCCCCCCCCCCACCCTCTGTCACACGTCGTCACAAAAAGCCCGCCCCCCCCCTCCACTTAATTGACGTCACACCTCAGCCTACAACCCCCCTCAAAATTGTAGTTTAATTTTTTTTAAAACATCGATATTTTTTTCTAAAATCTTGTCTGAACTCTGTCAAAATAGAGTATTTTAATCAATTCCTATTTCAATTCATTAAAACAGTTTTCTAAAACGCGAAATAACGTCTAAAATTCGTTTTCTAACATTGCTTTTTTATAATGCAAACGTGTGACGTCGCACCATCTGACCCAGTGTTTCTATCAGACTTTTTGAAATTTTCGGGGGGGGGGGGGAGGGCTTTTAAAAGTATATATTTTCTATATAATTTTTATTTTGTTCGGGGGGGGGGGGGGGAGGTGGATTTTCTTCGTGATGGCTCCGCCCCCCCCCCCCCCCCCCCCCCCGAAGAGATGCCTGGAAGAAACTCTGATCTGATCCCCCCTCCCCTTCATCACACGACGTCACAAAATTACGGACCCCACTCCCCCCTACGAGTGTGACGTCATTTATGGACGACCCCTTATAACATTTAAGACATTAATAAATTCCCCGTATGTGATACGTGACGATTTGCATGATCAATGTTTGAGGGGGTAAGAGAGAGAAAAAAAGATAACTGAAAAGGGGACACTACTCGCTACTCCTGACTGAACTGCGGACAAAAGCCCAGCACGCCATCGAAAAAACTTAACCCAATAATCGACAGGGGAACAAAAGAGTTAATTTAAAATATGAACTTGCTTATTCTTCTAGGATTTGACGAAACAATACTTTTTGAACAGGAAATATTTAAGAATCAATGGCCAGAGAACTGTTCACCTAGCTTGAAGTGTCTGTGGTTTAGAATGGCAAAATGGTTGTTTTGGATATAGTTACTAACCCCTGCCATTTCTATGTAGGGCAGGTTTTTATACTGCTAGGGCGGAGTTTCCGAAAGAGGATCTGGTCGCTAACACCGCGACGTTTGCGATCTATAGAATTCCGAAAAGTTAGCACAGTTTTCGACTGAGTTCAATAACTTCTTAAACATTAAAAGACAAAAATAAAGTCGCCCTTTCGAACCGGGATGTCCAGTGGGTACATGAAATAAAGTTCATCTATTTCTGTGACCTCAGTATTTGAAGGGACAGTGTGGTCAGCACAATGCCCAGCCGCCTTTACTTTCCATGACGTGAGGCAGATAACCGAGTTCAATGGACTCAGAGAAGTCAGGATCCGGACTCGAGACTGTCGTGTTAGTAGCCGTGTGCTCTACCATCCAACCACGTCATCCCATTAAAAAAAACAACAAAAAAAAGAAAACTTATTTCAAAAAAAATTTCGGGCATCTCTTCAGAATGGCACCACCACCGCAGCCCCCCCCCCCCCCCTACCCATGTCCCCGCTCCCGCGAAGCATGTCTACCCCCCACACACACCCCCCCCCCCCCCCGAGCGAAATAAAATT